TGTGTCACTTAGGGACAGGGTAATATTAAGCCATGTAAATCATAGTTATCATGCACCTCAAAATTCTACATAGGGTTTTGACAGATACTAAATATTTGGTCACTAACTTCTATGAAGGAAGCTCTGGTGGCATAGTGCTTAAGGCATTTGACTGCTAACCAGAAGGCTGGCGGTTCAAATTCACCAGCCATTCCTCAGAAGGAAGGTTGGGCAATCTACTTCCATAGTGATACCACTTTGGAAATCCAAGGAGGGGGTCGCTATGAGTTGGATCTGACTCCACACCTAGGTCCACACCTAGTCGGTGGCAGACAGGACCCACCCCCAGAGGCAGGAAAGGAAGGGAACGCCAGGGACGACAAAAGCATCAGGATCCAGGTAGGAATCAGGTAAGGGTAGGGCAGAGAGGTTTCCAACAGCTAAGGGAGACTAACTTGTCTGTCAGTTTGTCATACTGTGGTGGCTTGCACGTTGCTGTGATGCTTGAGGCTGTGCCACTGAAAAGCCAGCAGGGTAGTTCATGGTGCACAGGTTTCAACACAGCTTACAGACTAAGACAGACTAGAAAGAAGGAAGAAAGAAGGAAGGCCACTTCTCAAAGAGTTGGCCAGGGAAAACCTTATGAACAGCAGAGAAACACTGTCTGATACATTACTGGGCAACTTTATGAGTAGCCTGGAAACATTATTCGATACAGTGCAGGAAGGCACTCAAAATACACATGGGAAAGAGCTGGCTCATCAGAGTAGAATGAATCTTAATGATATGGATGAAGTGAAGCTTTTGGGACCTCCATTTGCTGATGTGGCCTGACTCAAATTGAGAAGAAACAGCTGCAAACATCCATTAATAATCAGAACATGGAATATACAAAGTATGAATCTAGGAAAATTGGAAGTTATCAAAAATGAAATGGAACACATGAAGATTGATACCTAGGCATTAGTGAGCTGAAATGGACTGGTTTTAGCCATTCTGAATCAGACAACCATATAATCTACTATGCCAGGAATGACAATTTGGAGAGGAATGGTGTGGCATTCATCATCGCAAAGGATGTTTCAAGGTCTGCCCTGAAGTACAATGCTGTCAATGATAGGATAATATCCATATGACTACAAGGGAGACCAAATTTACACACCAACTACCAAAGCCAAAGATGAGGAAATTGAAGAATTTTACCAACTTCTGTGGTCTGAAATCGACTGAACATGCAATCAAGATATATTAATTATCACTGATGACAGGAATGTAAAGTTGGAAACAAACAAGAATTACTGGTAGTCGGAAAATTTGGCCTTGGTGACAGAAATAATTCTGCAGGTCGCATGATAGAATTTTGTGAGACCAACGACTTACTCATTGCAAATACCTTTTCTCAACAACACAAACAGCAGCTATACATGTGGAATTCACCAGATAGATTATACAGGAATCAGATTGACTACATCTGTAGCAAGAGGTGATGAAAAACTCAATATCTTCAGCCAAAATAAGGCCAGGAGCTGATTGTGGAACTGCATGAACTGCTCATATGCAAGTTCAAGTTGAAATTGAAGACAATTAAAACAAGTCCATGGGAGCCAAATTATGACCTTGAATATATCCCTCCTGAATTTAGAGATCATCTAAAGAATAGATTTTATGCATTAAACACCAATGACCGAAAACCAGAAGAATTGTGGGATGACATGAAAATGATTTCTTCATCCATGAAGAAAGCAAGAGGTCATTAAGAAGACAGGAAAGAAAGAAAAGACCAAAATGGATGTCAGAAGAGACTCTGAAGCTTGCCCTTGAACAAAGAGTAGCTAAAACAAATGGAAGAAATGACAAGATAAAAGAGTTGGACAGAAAATTGCAAAGAACAGTTGGAGCAGACAAAGCCAATTACTACAATGAAATGTGTAAAGACCTGGAGTTAGAAAACCAAAATGGAAGAACGCCCTCAGCATTTCTTAAGCTGAATAAACTGATGAAAAATTTAAGCCTTCAGTTGCGATACTGAAAGATTCTACAGGCAAAATATTGAATGATGCAGGAAGCATCAAAAGAAGATGGAAGGAATACAGAGAGTCACTGTACCAAACAGAACTGGTCGATCTTCATCTATTTCAGGAGGTGGCATATGTTCAAGAACCAAAGGTATTGAAGGAAGAAGTTGAAGCTGCACTGAAGAAATTGGTGAAAAACAAGGCTCCAGGAATTGATGGAATAACCATTGAGATGTTTCAACAAACGGATGCCCCACTGAAGGCACTCACTCGGTTATGCCAAGAGTTTTAGAAGACAGCTACCTGGCCAACTGACTGGAAGAGATGCATATTTGTGCCCATTCCAAAGAAAGGTGATCTCACAGAATGTGGAAATTATCGAACAATATAATTAATATCGCATGCAAGTAAAATCTTACTGAAGATAATTCAAAAATGGTTGTAGCAGTATATTGACAGAGAACTTCCAGAAATGCAACCTGGATTCAGAAGAGGACATGAAATGTGGGATATCATTGCTGATGTCAGATGGATCATGGCTCAAAGCAAAGACTACCAAAAAGATGTTTAATTATGTTTTGTTGACTATGCAAAAGCATTTGATTGTGTGGATCATAATAAATTGTGGATAACATTGAGAAGAACGGGAATTCCAGAACACTTAATTGTACACACTTCATTGTACATAGACCAGGAGGCTGTCGTTCAAACAGAATAAGGGGACACTGCATGGTTTAAAATCAAGAAGGGATAGCGTCAAGGTTGTGTCCTTTCACCATACTTATTCAATCTGTATGCTGAGCAAATAATCTGAGAGGCTGGACTGTATGAAGAAGAATGTGGCATCAGGATTGGAGGAAGAATCATTAACAACCTGTGATACACTGACGACACAACTTTGCTTGCAGAAAGTGAGGATGACTTGAGGCACTTACTGATGAAGACTGAAGAATACAGTCTGCAGTACAGATAACACTTCAATATAAAGAAAACAAAAATCCTCACAACTGGACCTATAAGCAGCATCTCGAGAAATGGAGAAAAGATTGAAGTTGTCAAAGACTTCCCATTGCTTGGTTCTACAATTGACACCAATGGAAGCAGCAGTCAGGACATTAGACCACATATAGCACTGGGCAAATCTGCTGCAAAGGACCTCTTTCAAGTGGTGAAGAGCAAACATGTCTCCTTGAGACTAAGGTGGGCCTGACCCAAGCCATTATATTTTCAATTGCCTCATATGCATATGAGAGCTGGACAATGAGTAAGGAAGACTGAAGAAGAGTAGGTGCTTTCAAGTTTTGGTGTTGGCGAAGAATGCTGAAAGTACCATGGACTGCTAGAAGAAATAACAAATCTGTCCTGGAGGAAATTCAGCCGGAATCCTCCTTGGAAGCAAAAATGGCCAGACTTCATCTTGCATACTTTGGTCATGTTGTCAGAGGGACCATTCACTGGAAAAGGATGTCATGCTTGGTAAGGTGGAGGTCGGACAAAAGAGAGGAAGGCCCTCAATGAGATGGATTGACACAGTGGCAGCGGCGACGGGGTCAAGTATAGCAAGAATGGTGGAGCTGGCACAGGACCAGGTGGTGTTTCATTCTGCTGTGCACAGGGTCGCTATGAGTCGGAGAGGACTCGATGGCACCTAACAACAACAACAACAAGGCAACTTTCCTAAAAAATTCTTGATGTAAAAGAGAGAAGTGCCTCGAAAACCCAATGGGAGTCGCTATGAGTTGCAATCCACTTGATGGCAGTGGGTTTGTTCCTTTTGGTGGAACAATAGGCAAATTGAACTCAGGTGTTTACTAAGAGCAGTAACATACATAAGTTAGGAAAGAATTTGGAAGCTCATTTTCTGCACCCCTACTTGGTGGCTTAGTGTAAGGCATTTGACTGCTAACTAGAAGGCTGGCAGTTCAAACCCACCAGCCACTCCTCTGAAGGAAGATGGAGCAATCTGCTTCTGTAAAGATAACCGCCACAGAAACCCAGGGAGGGGTCCCTATGAGTCAGATCAGACTCCATGGCAGCGAGTTTGGTTGGAGTTACAGATAGTAGTCGTTTAAGAAAATAAAAAGGTTCTTAATTCCCTTTTCCTTAGTACTACTTTTCTGCCTACCCCAATTCTACAATGTTTTTAAATGGTTAAAACCCTCAAAAGTGCCTAACTCCTCTCTCCCCTCATTACACAAGTTACGTATCACTGTCCAAAGAAACAAAAAAACGCCTGCGATTTCCCCATTTGGGCTCAGTCTTTATTCTCCACAGAAAGGCACTCAGAATGAATGAGGCTCAGACTTGGAATATTTGGAGCCAGGACTTGGGCCTTCTGGGTAAAACGTGAAACCAAACAATAAACAAACACACCCCCTCTGAAAGGCAATGCTGCTGTTGTTATTAGCAGCCGTGGGTCAGAATTTGACTGTATAAAAGAAAACATGGACTGAGCTTGGGTTCCTGAGATCCCAGCTTTCCCAAGCCGGGCAAAGTACCCGGAGTCGGACGCCGCGGCCCCGGGGACTTTCACCTGCTCTGCAAGCAGCTCTAGACGCGCGGGGGCGGACTCGAAGGGGCGGGGCCGTGGCGCCCCGCGGGAGGAGCTGGCATGGGCCCGCCCCGCAGGAGGAGCCGCTGGCTGGCGGCTGATCCGGCGTCTCCGTGACAGGCGCCCCGCTCCTCCGCCGCCGCCGCCGCCAGCACCACCGCCACCTTTTCTTCCTGGTCCCGGGCCATCCACACCACTGCTTCAGGGCCGGCGCCCGCCCAGTCCCAGCTCGGGCCGCGGCCGCGCGCCCACCGCTCCCTTCACCCGGCCGGGACGCCGCCGCCTGCTCCTGCC